TTGATGATATGCAGGAAATTCAAAATGATGGGCAGCAAAGTTGAGAAGTAGCTGTTAAGGGTGGAACACATACGAGGATTCAGGCCTGGCCTGTTAAGTTTTCTTTGTAGGAAATGTCAAAATATAAAGGAATATCAGAGTTAAACTTGATTATGAACGCCACCCTCATTTCTTTTACAATAAAAGAAGCCAACTTAATATCATGCCACTTCTTGAGAATCGGCTGATAACTAGCCTATTTATAAGGTCGAACAGCAGGGCAATTCTGTAACTTTTTTTGGCGTTACCGACAAAGAATTAAAATTCAGATTTTGATGCTATCGACAATGGTCGGTAATTCTGTCGTTAAACAATTACAGAATAGCTCTACAGATGATTCAATCACAACGACCTAGTTCAATTGCTGTTACCTGTTAAATGGATTTTGGAGTTAACGAACATACCTAATATTCGATAACATTGATATTCGAACATGCCAAGAGCACGATGAACACAAATCAAGTGGACAACAACATTTATATTTCGACTAAAACTTGCTTCCTTAAAAAAAAAAATCACACAGAGCAACAAATATTGCTGAAAATTATATCACACAACAATAACAACAAAGAACAGCTGTGCGAATAAACCAATCGAAGCACAGAGAATGTAATTAGAATGTCTTAATAACGATAACAACAAACACTAATGGTCGGGCGAAACAGAAACTAAACAAAATGAAGATTGCAAAAATAAAAAAAATCTTCAAAACATTTTGGAAAAAATCCAAGGCCTAAAAAACAAATATTACGTCTGATGTGTGTTCAGCATTCAATGGCGTAAAGCGACATGCCTTGCGCCCAATCAGACAGTTATTCTTGTATTCGCATGTTTTGTTTTCTTGGTTCTTACCGGTAAAATGTTGATATCGATAGCACGATTGTTACGATAATAAAACACACGCACAAATCAACAGCAGACCGGTGTTGATTTTGTTTTTATAAAACAGAGAGTAAGAGAGAAAGAAAGAGAGGGAGATCGTGAAGCCTATGTCTTTCTCCATAAATTTAAAGGTTAATTAAATTACACAATGGGTAGGCGTCAGTAAAATCGTATGGGGTATTAAAAAACAATTTACCTTAAAATAAATCAATAGTCCTATCAAATTTGTTAGGGCTTCAATTTTTTGTTGGCATTGCAAAATAATGTAGATATTCGTAATTGTCATTTAGAGAGATGGTGTCGTCATTGTCAGACAGACCATAAGAAAATAAATGAATGAAAAAACATGTCAAGATAATTTTAATTATTTAGTTAATTTCTGATATATAGAAAGAAACACCAGCCACTATCTCAATTGACAAACATACAAATAATAATAATGTGGGTTAAGATACGAGGTGATAAAACATAATGAAAAGAAAAAATAAAAAAACAAAACAAATATTCATATCACATTATAGTTAGTTTGTATCCATTCCCCGTGTTAATTATAATATTAAATATTTATACAGGTTATTGGCTTCTTTTTTACGGCTAAAAATCGAGAAAGAGAAAACATGTTTATATTCTGTCAAAATTCACGTGTTGTTGTCAATGTGTATGCCGGAGTTTTTGAGAACAACAAATACTTATTCTAATCGGTGCCATTGTTAGCTAGATAAGTCCGATAATAACCGAATTAAAAATGTCCATTTACATTGCCGATTATAAAACAAGAAAATATAGGAAATTATACTGACTGACTGAAATGAGTCTGTAAGTGCACCAATAGTCGGCACGTTAAGAATTTTCGCTTTTTAAACGTTTCCCCATTCCAAGTGCATCTTTTCCACGATATTGTATTTAGGTTCATCTGTTTCGAAATTTTGTTAATTATTTTTTTTTTTTAATTTCGAATTCATATCATTTGAGAGTTTTATGATGGCAACCCTTTTTAATTTGGAAATCGTCTATCAATTTTAAATAATATGAAAAATAAATTCCAAATTTTATGTACGTCGATTATAAGTTTTAGAGGCAGGGAACTTCAAAATATTTATAAATATAAATGATTTAGCAATTTTGCCATTGAACACATGATATGCGTAACTTTCGCAGGAAGATATTTTCCTTTAAATTTTAAAAGCTGAATACTGTCAAAGGCAAATTTATGAAAAGCTTGGAAATATATGACTGCATGAGACTACCTTGAATAATTATGCCATGGAATGAAAATAGTAATTTTATTCATTTTTTCATGGCATAGAAATTGTGTTTTGGAATATTGTTTGAAAATGACAAAAATTGTCTATATTTACAGTTAATGAAAAATTCAAGACAGTCTCACGACAATTAAGAAGAATTTAAATGTATTGGTAAAATGGGTCTCTATCTTTGCTATAAAAAAGTCGTTTGTAAACACCAGGTTAATGAAGAAACATTTTTGAAAAAGTTATTTACTTAATGTGAAAACTGATTCTTGACATACTGTATGTACTATTTGTTTTTATTCCCAGAGTTTTCGACATTTATTTACTGCATGAATCCACTCTTTCTAGATTTACAGCAGATTTATGAATATCTTTTAATTTTTTTATATTAATTTTATTTATTAATTTTACTATCTTTTAATTTAGCAAACGCTAATGCTAACTTCACTAACTTCTCGTTTCACTCATTTTAAAGCAATTTATTAATATTTATATTTTTGTATAATATGGCATCTCTGTTCTGTTGATTTGACACTTGTGACATTCTTCCATCACCCATACAGATTGCATTAAACATCTGACACATAAATTACCGTTGCAATAGCAACAACTTGTCTTGTCATGCAGGCACTCTCAAGAATATTTTACTCCTCCTATATGCGGTTGCTATACATTTACTCTTTTTTCTTTCACTTTATTTGTGTCTCTTTATTTATATTCATTCATACTTTTATTTATTTTTTTTCTTACAAATGAATACCAATATAGTACGGAGGTATATTTTTGTCTGAGCTTTTTAAATAATAACAATAACAAATATGAGAGAGTGAGAGAGAGAGACAAACAGCAACGCTCTTCTCATTTGCTCTGTGTCTGGTGCTTGTCTACTAATGACAAAATAATGCGCGCGCAAATGTAAGAGTTGTTTTTGTCATGAGCCAGCAGCAGCAAGCAAAGAAGGAGAAGAGAAAGAATTGTTTGGTGTTATTGTTGTGTTCGGAATACAAACACACTGAAACAAAAACTATAGGGAAAAATTACTACTGCGTTGAATTTTGCAAAATAAGAAAAAAATGAAAAATTTATATATTTTATAACCTCTAAATTGTGTGTGCGTGTTTTGGGGATTTTCTCCCCTTGCCACCTAATGAAATGCTTCAAAATACATATAGACAAACCTATATTTTTATTGTTTGCTGTACATTGTCAAGGAATCCATAACAACAAGCCATTAACGCTTAGTTAGTTGGTTATTCACAAAAATATCAACCACATGATTTTGTGTTAATGTATTTTTATTATTGTTTTTTTTTTGTTATCTGGAGAGGGACCGGGGGAACAGACCAACCAATTTTTAACACAATTTCTTTAAATAACAATAAAATGTGCCTATCAATGTAGTATGATACCCCAACTTTGCACCTTGAATTTATTCCCCCTCCTATAGCGGTGGTTTCAGTTTATTTTATTTTTTTTCGTTGGGCCTTTGGAGAGGCAGCATTGAAAGAAAAATTTAGTCGATATGCTAATTGAATTAATAGTAGTAAATATACAATGGCAACAACAACAATAAGCAGAAAAACACTGATTGTCAGTCTGAGTGGGTCGGTTCGGCCCTCCTGCCGCTGCTGCTGCTGACGGTTGTTGGCTATTGAATCATATGTTTTCTACAGCTGTATGTATATAGAGCAGGGATAGCCAACAATACATATGCAAACTGCTATGATTGTGTTGAACACACGCATAGTTTGGTTGGGAGAGTAATTTTCGCTCTCTCGGCACAGATCGTATATGTTAAAGCATTGTATATAATGTTGAGTTCGAACACAGAACTGTGACACACATATAGGGTACACACATAGGGTATACTATGTAGGTAGTGGGGAGTAATACATCAATATCGAGAATCTACTTTGCTTTGGTTGTCAGAAAGAACAAAAAAAGAAAATCGAAACATTGTCATGAAATATAGGTACAGTCATTGGACTGGACTGGTGGTGGCACCAGCTATCTACTTATGAATGAAATCAATATCTTGTTCACAACTTCACTTCGACAACCACCTTCAGTCATGCAAGAACCGAGAAGACTCCTTGCCTCCTCTTCCATGCCTCCATGCCAGTAATACCTACTAAAAACCAATAACAACTTGTCTATTAACCAAGTTTCGTAGTGGTGGCAAGGGCAACAGACATCCTTGAAGTTCTTATCGTTGTCAATGTTGACGGTTTCGCCTGCATGTGTAGGAATAACAAACCACTTTGCTGGCTGGGTTTTAGTAAACCAGATTTAGAGTTCCATGTTTTGAAACTGAATTTCCGTTAGGCACACAAAACAACCTCCTAATGGCATAAATTATACCCACATTCAGTATTACGACATGTGGAGGCAGGCGACGGCATGTGCTTTCCAAGTGCACTGCGTATATATCCAGGAGACCACAAAAAAATCACAACAACAACACCACTCACACACACATTTAAATATAGATAAAAATTTTTAAACAAAATAAAATTCACGTGTTTCTTTTGTTTCACTTTGTCTCTGCTTGTTCTTCTTCTTCATGTTCATTCTTTGTGACATCACAAGTTAAAATGTTTTTTTTTATTTCGTTTCAAATTAATTACAATAGATTTTTTTTATTCGTCACAAATTGAAGAATACTTTGTTTTTGTTGTTTGTTCTGTTCTGTTCTTTTTTGTGCACATTTTCTTCACATTCACCTTTTATTTATTTTTTAATTATTTTTTTATAACCCCTTTTTTCTCTTTGTTTTATTTTATTTATTTATTTTTTTTTTTATTTTATTTTATTTTGAATTCTACTCACCATGTTTCCAAGTTGCTGAATTTCTTGGTGACCACTTTGCCCAAATCGATACCCAAACGGTCGACAATCCTTTGGGCCAGATCTGGATGCGATGTACCCGAAAACACTTTAATGTTTGGCATTCTGGAGTGTAATGAATTTAATGTGCTGGCTTGTTTCTCCAAATTGTCGCGTATCAAACTTTTTGCGCGTATCGGATTAGCAGATCGAACTGGCATCACACAATCTACGAGTACAAGTTTTTATTACAAAAAATATTAAAGGCGAAACAGAAAAGAAACACTCACACACACAGAGAAACACACACAACAAGAGAGAGAGATAGAGACAGATAGAAACAGAGAGAGAGTGCGAGAAAAGCATTCAGCATTATTAAAAAACAAACAACAAATTGTTCTCTTCTTTTTCAAATACATTTTCTATACTCTTTTAGCATACAAAGCCGACCGACACACACACACAAGAACTAAGAATTCCCTTAAAAAACCTACATCTTAAAGAGACTCATATTACAAGAGGCGTTGTCGTGCTCATTGTTTAACAGGTAGTTTTTTTTATGAAATTAGAAAAAAAAGGTTAGCTCATTAGCCGCTTCTAGGATTATTGTTGTTCTCATCTTAAAAAAAAAACACACACCAACAAACATAATCTCTTTTTAAGAACCCATAAAAAAGGTTTTTTATGGGTTTTACTTAAAAAATGCCCTTAAAACAATGCCGTTTTTGTACTCCTTGTCAAATGAGAGGCTAATAAATGCTGTATATGTAACGTGTTTTAAATAATTTTTTAAATTCTATCTCCGAGGGATAGAATTAAATGGAAGATTGGACAAAATACCTACAACATTAAAACTAAACTAAAAAAACTGGAAAAGGAGCTCACATTATAGATATGTGAGTAATTTTACTCATTTTAATTCAGGATACTCCAATGTATTTGAATGAAATCACCAAATCAATAAATAAATAAATTTCATGTAAGAAATTAAATAGTGAGTTCAAAAATATCCACTTGGTTTTTTGTCATTATAAAAAAATCGCAGGTATGCCATTTTAATTAATTATTAATAAAATGTTATTCTTTTTTATATGTGAACCATGGCATAATTATACAAGGTAGTCTCATATGTTTCCAATTTTTTTTTATAAATTTGCCTTTGACTGTATTCAGCGTTCAAAATTTAAATGAAAATATGTTCCTTGGAAATGTACGTATCACAAATTGCTTAATAATTTGTTTTTATAAATATTTTGAAGTTCCCTGCCTCTAAAACTCCTAAATATGAGTTGTAACAATAATTGTTAAATCTTGAGATCAATTGTGCAGCATTAAACGACATGTACACTAGAACTTTTTTGCATGGTTAACCTTTTTTATGAGGATTTATTTGACAAATATGTAAAGTAATTGACCATTAAAACCCAATGGGTTAACGAAATCCGGTTAAATGTAAACGTCCTATTAGAAAACATATTTTGACATATATAAAATTTTACGGAATTTATTTTTCATATTATTTAAAATTGATAGATGAGTTCCAATTGAAAAAAGGAATGGCATCATCAAATTCTCAAATGAGACTAGCTTCTGTAATTATGCAATGATGAACATCCTAATTTAAAATTAATGAAATAAAATAGCCCATATTTATATAAATACAATATAAGAAGTAATTGTAAAAATTATTTTATATTATTTTCAACTAAATAGGGGTTAAAAGTTAATCTTCCTATGGAATATAAAGTTAAATACTGCATTAGAATTTTTTTACACAAATCTCAACGGAAAATAGCGGAAATACTCAATATTACTCGATCTGCTGTCCAAAAAATTATATTGAGGCACAAAACCGAGAATCGAATCTGCAAAAAGCCGAAAATCAGCAAAAAATCATTCAATATATGAAACGAATTTTTTTTGGCTCCGACAAGTGGCCGATAATCCAAAGCTAAGTGTAAATCTCTGCTGAAATCGCAGCGAAATGTCTGGAAAAGAAATGTAACCTAAAATTTATTCGAAGAATTATACGTAAGCGTGGTCTTCATGGCAGAGTTGACATGACCCCCAAAAAACGGAAAATCCGATTGTAGTTCGTTTAGAAACACAAAAAAAAAAGATTTTGGAAATTGTTTGAGTCGGATGGACAAAGTACGGTATGACGCAGGGCGAATTAAGCCGTGGACTCTAATCACAACATTCCGACCGTAAAGCATGGTAGAGTTGTATTTTCTAGTTCAAAAAGAAGATCGTTTTTTTAATCTTGAACATTTGTTTGCAAATCACATCAAATAAATATTTAATAAAAAGCATTGGAATGTTAAGTTTTAAAAGTGAAATTGCTATTTCTTTATCTCTGTACAGATGTATACAATAATAATAAAAAACAAAATAGATAACTTTTATAGAGAAACATGTATGTTTAATTATTGTGATCTGTTTTTCGATTCGTGAATTATATTGGACTGCCGCCAAACAGAGAAACGTTTTACGTACAAAGTCAAATGCGGGGTCTAAAATCGATATTTCGATTTAAAACATTTTTACCCTATTCCAATGTATATTATCTAACCAACCTTAACTATAAAAAAATAACTTTTGCAATACTAAAACAGCTGATTATAAATTACACTAAAGGAATGTGCATTTTGTAACCCCTTTACATTACAACTCTTCTCTCTATTCCCTTTCGTTTAGTTTATTGATTAAATATCATGTTTTGCCCATTTCTTGTGTACTGTCTACTCGCAAAATAAACGACAGAAGAATTAATAAATAAAAGTTATATTCTTATAACTATAGCAACAAAAAAAGCTTTCAGTTATTCTTTGTTGCTCTCTTAAAAGTGAGTAATAAGCTTACTCTTGAAGACAACACACGAAACACGATAACGAAATAAAACAATAACAATGCATGTTATGATAAAAAGCCGGCATAACAATAATAAGATAACAACATCAGAGACGTAGTAACAGGTAAAATTGTAGTGATAATTAATAATAACTTTGACATGTTATGCTCCTTTGCGTAAACATATTATCGATAGCGTTGATAAATCGAAAACTGTTGTCGACAACTAAATGCCTGAATTACACTAGGCAACATACAGTATGGCAAGAAAGTGTTTACACACGGATAACAATGTAACATTCGCAAATGTAGAAGATCGAAGTTACACCAATTATATTATTTTTGATATTTATTTGTTATTTATTATACTTGTGGGCTGCCCTTAATACAGTTTTGAGTCAACCAAATTAAAATTTAGAACAACAGAAAAGATCAACACAAGGACAAAAACAAAGCTGGTTCAGTTTCATCAGTGTTATATTGGGAATCATTTGATGACAAAACCTTGAAATAAAGTATTAAAAAGGTGCCGGCAAAAAGTTGTCCTATCATGTAATTCAAATGATATATTATAAGCGCAAGTTGGGGAAAAGTGTGATCGAATTGTTGGAAATGTTTTCAGTTACACAAAAGACAATTTACAATATATTAAATTGAGTAGAAAACGAGAGAATTTACCCTCAAATTTCCACAAGGACGCTTGCGAGGGAGCTCGAAGAAGAGTGTGATGTTTAATGAGATGAGATTTCAAGTAAATATCTAAACAAGTCTTGAAGATATAGCCGATTTATTGTGCTAGCATCAAGTGACGACAAGAGGGCATATTAAATTTTAAACGCTTTTTTCTCCAAACAGTGAGTGGCGGATACAATAACTTAAAAAGTAATAATTCGATCGATTCCAAAATTTGGACGTTTCTCTGTGACTTTTTAAAAATATGTTTCAAAAGTCCGTCATTTTGTTGATTTTTGAACGATTTACATATTTTTTAACAACTAAAAATTTATATTTTCTAAATTGTATCTCATGGCATAATTATACAAGGTAGTCTCATGCAGTCATATGCTTCCATTTTTTTCATAAATATTCTTTTGACAACATTCAACTTTCAATATTTAAACGAAAATATCTTCCTTCGAAATGTACGCAAATCTTATGTCCAGTGGCAACAATATTTGAATCACATATATTTATTACTATTTTTAAGTTCCCTGCCTATGAATCTTGAGAACAATGTGGAGCTTTAGAAAAAAATATATTTTTTTTAATTTTTTGAAAATTTGCCAATTGTCATGCGTAACATTTTATTTTTTATTTTTCATTTGATTTGAAATTGATATATGAATTCCATATTAAGAAGAGTTGCCATTATTAACACGTTGACGGACAGTTGCGTCTATAGCCGTCAAGTTAAAGTTCACTATGTGTCATGACGGCTGTAGCAGCACAAATGTGCATTTACCAGCGTACAAGTAGCAGCCATGTGTCATGTGTCATGTTTTCGAATTTCACTTGTTTCTACTGTCCGTCAACGTGTTAATTTCTCAAATGAAACTACCTTGTATAATCATGCCATCTATTACAATATGGCAACATGAATCCATTTTCGAAAATTCGAATCCACATTCCGCATTTTTTGATTCTCCCTATTCATTCAGAATATGGCAAGAATGTGGAAATGCTTTTTTTTACATGCGAGATATTTCCCTAGCAAATATCCAGAATAAGGCTGAAGAAAAACGCCTGTAAACTACCTTATATTATTGTATTACTGTTACAGTGATTTATTTTTCACTTTTTATTCAAATTGTTTACATGCGATTTTCATTTAGCATATTTTTTTAATCTTTTTTAATCTATTTGTTGTCGAAATTGACCTTAAATGCTGATCCTTTGAATTTACGTCATTTCGAAATTTTGCAAGTCGATGTAAATGTTGTTGCCATCCGTTATAGTGTTATTGGACCCATTAATTATTTTCAATACTTTTATGAACAACAAACTGATAATGTCATGAAAAACAATATTTGTCTGTTCGAAAAATCATGACTTCATTGGTAACCCCAGCAGACAACATCCCATTTCATGAACATTGGGTTGACAAGTGTTATCAGCCTCTTGACGATGTGGTGTGGCATAACAAGAAAAAAAAACCTATTACAAAAGGTTGGCAACCTTTGTCTGATTAAAAACAAATTTAATAACAGAGATAAGAAGGAAAAATAATTTGATTACAAATTCTACACGAAATCTACAATCACACACAGACAGATATTTATTTTCGAGAGGTTCGAGAGAAAGAGAGCGGATGAGGCCTCCTCAATGCTGCTCTTTACAAAACCAAAAAGAAAGGAGAAAAGCAGTCCCACATGTGAGAACCAATGGAGAAAGAGATACATTAT